GCCTTCTGGGATCCCAAAGAGATGAACAGACGTCCCACAGATCAATAAGAGAAATGAGTGTTACCTTCAGAATGGCCTTGCTAAAAATAGGGATGTGCAGTATGAAGAAAATCACCTCATGGTAATAGCATATACTGTACCACAATATAGTTTTTGTATTAAATAACCATGTGGTAATGCATGGCCTATTTTTGCATAATCCAATGAACTAAATACTTTACAAATGAAAGGAACTTCTTCTTTTGATAATTTTAAGTCAGTTCTAGCCATTAAATAAAAACACTACATTAGAGTGATATCAGAGTCTATATATCGGAGCAATTCCTCAACAAACATCACTCTCACACCTTCATTATAACCTGTTAGTCTTGTTGTCAAGGCAACAGCACTACTGTGAGTGTGAAGCTCCGAGAGTCTGTGACAGCATGTGTCTGGTGTCTGAAATTAGCTTCACGACCAAGCCAGTAGCCTGTGGCCTCACTTTCACCCATAACATCAGCAGCTGATCATTCACCTCTCCTCACCTTCTTTGAGCAGAATATCCCCATGACAACACAACAATCGATATCTTAATTTTCATAGGATTGCAGAATTGATTGCTTCAAACTGGACGTGTCAGATCGCAGCTTCTCACTGCATGTATCAAGCCTCTTAATAAGATGAGTAAACACAGCCCGTTTATATGGAGGTATTACACATTAAATGATATCATGATTACGAAATTGACATTCTCAAATTACCATTCTTCTATCTAGATATCATTATCAGCCATTCAAATAACTCCTATCAGTCAACTATTAGACTGCACTCAATCCATTACCACCTTACAGCACTTTTAATTGTGTAATCTGCTGTATGCAACATGTTAACCATTAGTCCAAGTCGTCACTAAATAGGATTATGCATCATTAACTTATTTGTGCCAGCTGTACGTACAAATTTAAGTAAAAGTCAGTCTGTAAGGAGGGCAGAAATTCTCACAAATCTCACAGAAAATTACTCTTAATATGACATTTTGTCTGGGAAAACGTAGGTCATGTTGCCCATCGTGAGAAAGAACGGCATTCATGAGAGGATGATCAAGCTCTCGATTAAAGTCTCTCTGCAGGGACAGCACGATGCTTCTGCGTCATCTTATAAATAATCCATATGGACAGACAAGCGATGAGTCACACGCACTGTGTGAACCGCGAGCAAACAGAAGAGTGTGAGTAAAAAAAAAAATCAATTGTACTGCCAGGGAGGGTTTTTTCATATATACATCTATAAATATGGAGAAAACTGCTGCACTGAAAACATTGTAGCAGAGTTTTAATGATCTCTCCATGTGCTCACTGCTTGCGGAAGTGCATTATTAACATTCCACAGCTGCCGTATGAATGGTGTCATAATCCAGCAGCTGATAAGAGCCGCCACCACTCCCATCTTCAACTTCCACAAAGTAAACATTAAAGATCCCATATTGTCAAAACTTAAATTTCCTGGCTTTTTTCACAATAACTGAGGTCTAGGGGCTATTTAACTACCATATAAGTTTCAAAACAGTCAGTCCACAGTAAAATGCACACAGCCTGCATAAAGTAGCTGTGATTTTTCACGAACCGTTGTGACTTACGTAAAAAGTTGACGTCAGAACAACACAGTCACCACCCCGAGCACCGCCCACAGTCCCACTCGCCTTTTGCCAAACCCCCAGACAACATAGCGTCCATGCTATTGCTGAGCAACAACAACATGGAAACATGTCGAAAAGGTTAACTTTAACCACGAAACCAGATCGGCCGACCTGTAACGTTACACTCTCACTCAAAGGATGGACGATCTGACAGGACTCCAGAAAGGTGTAAAATATGTGACCTTTAATAGTGGTTTCATTTTGATTCATCTCAGTGACTCAAAACTTCTGTTCAATAAAAAAGTTCACCGAATCATTCAGTGGCCCTTTCAGCAAGTCACATTACTATGGCAGCAGTGATAACAAGTCTTTGTGTTATGAGTGAGTCACTGAACCAATTGCTAGAGGCGTTACAGGCGTTCACGCCCAAAACAAGTCTTATTATGCATAAATTATCTACAAATCTTCTAAGACTCCAGAAAGAGTATCCAATAATTATAACCTCACCTGACTTTCACCAAGCTATAAAAACAGGAGTAGCCTACATAAATTAAGACATTCAATAACGTATGGAACACATTCATAATTATTAATTTATTACACCCATATTCTGGAAACTAAAGGCCCATTCATACTAAGAATAATAACTAGGGCTGGGTTGACAATATTGATTAATCGTTCTATATTCATTTTCATGAACCAATATTCTTGAATTCCAAAATCAGTCTTTTATCTTTGCTGTTTTCTGTTAATGCGTGAACAAAACTTGACTAGACATTATTTGTAGCATGCCTCCCATCTAATAAACACAATATGCACTGTGCTTTGTTACCTTTGAAATGAAAAAGTCTCAGATTTTAAATTCTGTCAATTTTATCAATAAATGTCGTTTTGATGCTCTTTAATGGGAGTAAGATCGCTGTAGCTGCCTCAGTTCAAGAGCGTGCGTGAACGATCAACTTTTCCTCTTTACTACTAGTTATAGTATAGTAGTCATTGAATCCGTCCTCTGCACTTCTATAACTGTCTGGTTCAGCTCAGCTACCAAATCTGACCTCAGAAGACTACAGAGGGTAGTCCGGACTGCTGAGCGAATCATTGGTACAACCCTCCCTTCTCTCCAAGAACTGTACTCTTCCAGAGTGAGCAAAAGGGCAAGCAAAATCACTCTGGACCCCTCACATCCAGCACACTCACTCTTTGAACTGTTGCCATCTGGTCAACGCTACAGAGCCCTGAGCACCAGAACGACCAGACACAGGAACAGTTTCTTCCCACAGGCCATCCATCTCATGAACACTTGACAATAACTGTGGAACACACAACACTATTTATACACTCATACACTTTATATATTGTTATTCCTTATTTACTTGTTCTATTTATTTATTTTTTATTCTTTTATTATCTGTGTTTTTGTTCTGTCGCTGTCATTCTGCTGCACTGCGGAAGCTTCTGTCATGAAAACAAATTCCTCGTATGTGAAAACATACCTGGCAATAAAGCTCATTCTGATTCTGATAGCATGAAATAAAACTTAATGAACTATTAATGAAACTGTCGTTCTGTCAACTGTCACTTTAAATGCTCGAGTTTTTTGAAGTCGGGTGGATTCTGGTTGCCTGTAAATATTTTTAGCATTCCTTAACTGAAAATTTAAATTCTGAAAGTGATTCCAACTATGTTCCTCTGCTTCGGTATATTACAGCTGTGGTGTGGACTTCCCTGTTCTCAAAGATTTAGAACTATTAACTAAACTTTATAGTTAAATTTTTTTAGTGCGAACAGGCCTTAACCCATATTAATCAGAATCAGAATGAGCTTTATTGCCAGGTATGTTTACACATACGAGGAATTTGTTTTCGTGACAGAAGCTTCCACAGTGTAACAGAATGACAGTGACGGAACAAAAAACACAGATAATAAAAAAATTAAAAATATATAAAAATTAAAAATAGAACAAGTAAGTATGTACAGGTATATTATGTGCAAATTTGAGGTGTAGACTGAGTTGTGCATGATTTCCCAGTTGATTCTGCGTCGCGATCCGCTCTGAACAGCTGAAAGCCCGGGAGACTCAACGCGCTGTCCGGAATGGCGTCTTTCAGCCAGGTTTCCGTGAAACACAGAGCAGCAGAGTTTGAAAAATCCTTATTTGTCCGGGAGAGCAGAAGGAGTTTGTCCGTTTTGTTGGGTAGAGAGCGGAGGTTCGCCAGATGGATGCTAGGCAACGGCGTCCTGAATCCGCGCTGCCTGAGCTTCACGAGCGCGCTGGCTCGCTTCCCCCGTCTGCGCGTCCTGAAGCGTCTGAACAGCGCCGCTGCTCCCCCGACTACAATGTCCAGCAAAACATCAGAATAATCAAAAACCGGTGAAATATCGGGTGGTGTGTACTGCCGAATGTCCAGCAATTCGTCTCTGGTGAAACTGATTGCAGGGATATAACTAAAGACAGGACAAACTAACAAAAACATAAAAACAACTGCGGAGCACGCCACTGAGGCAGCCATCAACGTCGGCGCCATCTCACATAATAATGAACTCAACACATTACCTTTTTTGTTCAGATCTTCACTCATAACTTAGATAACTCATTACTTCAGATCACTTCCCGAATAGTTCAGTTCATTTACGAACTAAAAATTCTTTGTCCCAATTTATTATTTTTCTTTGTCAAAAAAAATGCAGTTTATTCAGTTGGACGACGAATTAAATTTCAGTTTATTCAGTTCGTTCGTTCGATTATTTCACTCACGAATGATAGCTCCGTTCATTAATTTTATTCAAAAAGACTCGGCTGATTCGGTAATTGGG